GACTGGCCTTGAACTCCTGGTCTCAAGTGATCCTCCTGCCTCAGCCTCCCAAGTAGTAGAGACTACAGGTGCACACTATAGCACTGGGATTCCTCCCAGATGTATTTAACTCAGTCATAAGTGAGTCCAGCTGAGAGTGTAGACAGTGCCTAGGGAGCCCAGCAGCTCCCCTGGGAAGGGGACTCCAGGGCACAGGAAAAGCCAAAGGTCCTTGTGACCCCTAAAAGGCTGTCTTCATTATACTAACAATATGAACCCCAGTCTCTTCTGTTCCCCCATCACTGAGACCTGTGTTATTCCTGTCTCTGTGCTCTTATTCTTGACATTCCCTCTACTTGGGCTGCCTTCCCCTTGCTGAGTCCTGTAGTCGGCCTCAGTCATGTGCATGGAACAGGAGTGCATGCTGCCAGAGTCGTGTGCCTACGTGGCTAGACTGCGCGATACTTCCTAGCATTCTCCCCCGCCAGGTCTTTCTGAGTAGGGTGGACACGAGAAAGTCGTACGGGGGCTGTGGAGGGCAGAGTGAAGCAGCCACTTTGTAGCTCACATACCTTGTCACTTAGCTGCTGGCTGTTTGTGTGAGACTACTGCTCCACCACCCCTTGGAAATATGTACAGCTTCTCTGCCTCCTGGCCAGATGAGTGAGCTTTGTTCTGTGATGAAGGACCCTATCTTCTGCAGGAAATCCTCACCATCAAGGTCAGAGCAACAAAACTGACAGGGGTCTTAGTCCAACCTGATGTAATTCCAGCTCGGGCTCATGGGTTCTGGCTTATCGTTGTTATCCCTCACTTTATCTCCATCTTCCCCTCCCTACCTCCTGCCTTGCAGACATGGAGATCCAGCATCAAATGCAAATACCTCTGCCTTACCTAGACAGACTGACCAGCTCCCACAATAACAGAAGGTCAAGTCTCTGTAACAGATCCCTTATTATTTCTGTATCTTAGCAGCTTTGCTTTTCTTACTGAACTTGAGTTGAGGTATCAACATGGGTGGTGGTTGATGGTAACTTATGACTCCTATCCATCCTTTGGAACCCAGCTCAAGTCTCACCTCCTCCAGGAAGCTTTCCCAGACCCCACTAGTCATCAGTGGTCACTTCTGACTCTGAGCTATTACAGCACTTACTGCTTGTCCTGTCCTGCTTTAGGTTGTAAGTTATCTTTCCACTCATGGGTATCTTCTTGTCCTAGGTCAAAATTTCCTGCACTTCACAGATATAAATCTCTAGTCTCTTCCTGAAGATTCTGATTCTCTGAGCTTCACCTAGAACAATATGGTGACCAGAAAGTGTGAGGAATTCAGCCCTAAGTAAACTGTGAGCCCTAAGATGACAGGAACCAAGTCCCTATTTTATGTGACAGGGACTGCACACATCCAGCAATAATAGTAGATTTGAAAGTGGAGGGTACCCAACCAGCCTTTTCTGGGGCAAACATCCTGGCTTAGAATTCCCATTAAGTGAGATCTCTGAGACGCTTTTCTTTCTTCTTGCATGGCAGCGGAGGATGAAACCCCAAGCAGTCAGGTGCTGGGGACGTCATTCACCCTGATGATCTTGATGGAGTTAATTCTTACTAGTCATGTCTCCCTCACTCTGATCAAGCCACTCCTTCTCCTCTATTGCTTTGGAAAGAGGACTGTTCTTGCTGGCTACCCAGGAGTCCACCTCCCAATCTCCCAGCATGTCTCCTGGAGCTGAGTCTGACAGATCCAGGCTCTTCTGCTTTTCTTTGGGGCGTTTTCTCCACATGTTTCTCTTACACATTCTAGCTCAAACCTGTGCCTAACACAGAGTAGGCATTCAATGAGAACGGGTGCTGGATTGTCCATTGTCAGGGCCAGGTTGGCCCTGGCTGTGTAAGGGCCTGATGAGGGCAGCAAAAGGGTAGGCTTTGGTGGTACTCTGGGCGGGTTATGAGACCCTGCTTGCCTAGCATCTGAGAGATGGAAAGTCCGTCAACTAGACCTGGGCTGCCCACCACTTTTCCTCCCCTCCCCAGAAAACCCCAGATTACCCACTGTAAACAGTTCTGTGACTGCGTCTCCTGGAAAGGTCAGATCTGATGTCCATGCTGGAAGCTTTTGTAAGAATTCCTCATGGTCGAATGCATCTGTTCCCTCATCAAAACACAGGCAGATTCCTCATGCTTGGCCTTAATTTGCTGAACTTGCACATCATTGAGACAGATTATCTCTGTTTCCCAACTAGTCATTTTCTGTTTCAGGGGTGATACTGGGCTGGCTCAGGATGTTTCTGGTCAGAGCCCCCACCCACTACCTGCACAGGAGGGCTGAGTGCCCTGTGTGCCTACTTCCTTCTACAATCTAACAATAGAGAATGCAGGTGGATGCCTGGTGCAGGAGGAAAGGAGAGATACTGTCCTTCTACAGATGTGTGTGCCAGGGAGGAGGTGATGGACAGTAGGGTGCACTGTCCAGTGGGCAGATCTAAGGAAAGAGAATTTCTTACCTGAGTCTTCAAGGAAAGCCAGAATCAGGGCCCTAAACCCATTCAAGGACCGAGGAACAGCTAAAGCCTTTATGTTCCAAATTGGACTCTCAAAAGTAGCTGAAACCAAGTGACTTACCAGAAACCAACTCTGGAGTAGTTGCCATGCTAGAAGCCTAATCAACTCTGGGCTGAGAGGTAGAGCCAGGGAGGCAGAGGAGAGTGCTCCAGTGAATGAAAAACGACCAGGAGTGGGGTGTTGTGTGTCCCACTTTATGGAAATCATACTTGGAAAAACTGAATCAAAAACAACAGACTGTGACACAGAGAGTCGTCGTGAACAAAGGGAATACCAGAAATATCCCTTTAAAGAGAATCTCTTGACACATGCCTGGTATCTGTGGGCTTACCAGAGTTGCATTTACACATTCATTTTAGGGACATGTGCCTAAAATGAAGTGCATCTGTTAATCAGGGTACAGAGAGGCTTTGTGGTGAAGGGGAAAGAACTGGATAGGGGGTCGTGGAGCCTGGTTCTGCCACTTTCTCACTGAGAGACCTGGAGCAAATCACTGTCCCAATCCAGGCCTCTGACTCCCATTGGACAAAGGGTAGGACTGGATTACATGATCTTCAAGGGCACTTTTGGCTTTGACATTTTCTGCAGGAAGAAGAGGAAGAAGGTGGAGCTTCATGGAGGCCCTACTGTATTGCAGATGCTCATTTGACCCAATGCCTTGGTAACCCCCAAAGGAAGTGAAGCTCAAACGATTAAGCAATGTGTCCAAGGTGAGAAGGTGTCAGGGCTAGTGAGTGTCCTTACCACACCCCCGTAGGAGATGGCAGGGAGGATTCAAACCTGGGCCTGGCCGACCTGTGTATGTGTGTGTGTGTGTGTGTGTGTGTGAGAGCATGTGTGTGTGTGTGTGTGCATGTGTGTGTGTGTGTGGTTTCTGGCTGTGATCCTATAGGATAGGAGAGGCAGGGAGCCAGTGGACTCGCAGTACTGCTTCTGTTTTAAATCGAGACAAAGCTTGGGACCATCACATGGGCTTCCTGTGGGGAAAAAGGGAGGACAGTCCATTTAATTAACACCCCACAAGACCCCTGGAACTCTCCCTCCAGCCAGAGCACCAGCAACCCTGATAGCATCTGCGCTGCCCCACCACGAACCTGTAAGCAATTCATTTCCTACACTTATAATAAATAAGTCAATGAAAAAGATGTTCGACATAATTTCCCCAGAGAATGGAAGAAAGAAGCAGCGTGAATTGGAAGCTTCTATTATCTTCTGTTGTCTTGTCTCTGATGACAGATAATGGTGGCTGGTGAGGGGGATTGGCTGGCGGGGAGAATAATGCTTGGGTAAAGGTGGCCTTTAGAATATATCATCCCGCATCCAACTCAAAAAGGGAAGAAAAAAGCAAAAGACAAGGCAAGGCTAGCCGTGCTTCTCTGTTCAGGCCTCCCTTCCATCCACATCTAGCCAAGTTGCAGCCCTTTTACTAGAGAAACCATTGTGTGAATCACCGTATTTGTTGCTGCTTTCCCCTGTGCCTTCAGAGAGCTGACTAATTGGTCCAATACCAGCTGCTCGTCATGAAGGTCTCAATTAAGAAAGAAATAGCCACCTTGTGAATTCCCTGGGAATCAATAGCCCTGGGGATGTCTCTTCTGCCTGCTGCTCAGGGAATGGTGAGGAAAACAGGACAGAGGCAGGCTCCGAGTCAATGGGATTAAAATCTTGGAGGCAGTAAGAGAGCTGAGTGGCCAGGAAACTCCAGGACAGTTCAGGAGGAAAGAATAATAGAGAGTTTGGCCAAATGAGTCAGCTTCCAAGGCTGAATCCAACTGGCTAGGGGCTGCCACAGGGGGAGTGAATTTTGGGGACATCTTGGGTTTGGACTAAATGTTTAAGACTCGCTTTTAAAGTGACAGTTAAAAGTATAGCAATTATTTTCAACCCTGACTGCCTGTAGGGGAGCTTTTAAAATACAGTGATGCCCAAGCCCCACCTCACTTCAATCCAATCAGAATCTCCAGAGGGTAGGAACCAAACACTGATGTATTTTAAGAGCTCCCTGGCTGACTCTGTGGTGCACCTGGGGCTGAGAACCACCAAAGATGGTACAGAGCACGTTTCTTCTCCACATGTGCTCCCTGGGCCAGCGGCATCAGCATCAATATCACCTGGAAGCTTGTCAGAACTGCAGAATCTCAGACACCACCCCAGAACTACTCAAGTAGAATCTGCAAGATCCTTAGTTCATTCTCATTCACCTCCAAGTTTGAGAAGAAATAGTTTAGACAATAGATTGTTTGGGGTTTTATTTCTACTCCAGCATTAAGGCACATTATTCAATTTCCCTGAAACTCAGTTTCACTGTATGTAAAATGGGACTAATGATATGTATATGCCACAGTTATCAAGAGAAGAATACAGAATCATTTCTGCAAAGCATTTCACACACACAGTGCTTAGAACAGTCACTTCTCAATAGACACATGTGGTTCCTTTCCCTTCCACATGAGGATTAAATGAGATACATCATGTAAGACGTTTAATAGAGTGCTTGCTTGTACTATGTGCTTAATAAATGTGGGCTATTCTTATTTCCTCAAGCATTCCTTAGGCAGACAGCCGGACTCCTGCCTTTGTGGTCCTCCAGCTCGCTACTCATCCATCTCCTCCAGCCCTTAGAGTATTGAATTTCAATAAGCCATTTTTATGTCTCTCAACCCTGCTGGGTCTTATTCAGCTCACTTCCTTGGGCCTAGCACAAAGTAGGTCCAGGAAATACATAAATAAATGTGAAGGCCTTAAAGCGTTCCTTAGTTGGCGAACAGAGAGGCCGGGGATCATGTGCCTGGGGCTTCCAAGTCCTTAGACGTCCTGTTTCTTGGCCCCTGGGTAAGAACGAGGCTCTCTGAAGGAGGAAGGGGCCCCTTCCAGTGTCTGTGAGTAGAGAGCAGGTAACAAAATATGTCATGGAATATTCTGTGTGTTGGGTCAGTTTCAACCAACACAAAATCTAAATGCTTTGTAGACCTAATTAAACTGTGAGCTTCTAGAAAAATAAAACCGACTTTGAGATTGTCTCTAGACTTCCTTTATTCCTAGCATGCTAGGGCTGGAAAAAAAAAAAAAAGAAGAGAGAGGTCAGTCCCCTTTGGCTGTTACGCCCCATGGCAAGCAAGGGGAAGGCTTGGCAGATGGCAGCAATGCCCTTCTAATTCATGGGTCACCCTGGAGCTGCCCACAGACAGTGCCAGCCCTTTTAATGAAATCACTTAATTGGCATGAACATAGGTGAGTGTACAGGTCACCTTTGCTCAGGTCAGGGGCTAAGATGGGAGCATGAGGCCTCTTGGGCCTGCACTAAGCACTTTTTTCAAGAAGACTGTGTTGCTGCCAGGTTCAAGAGAGAGAAGGTTGAAACCTAAAATACTAATAAACAGCTCATAGTCCTCCCTAGGGACCCAGCTTTGCCAGGTCATGCAGGACCAACCTCACAGGTACCAAGGGGTTGCAGACTGCCTCTCGTAGCTTTGATAAAAGTCAATCATTTCTATTAGTTTATGCATGCACTCATTTAACAAAAGGTTTTCCAGTCCCTGCTCTGTGTTAGGTATATAAAGTACTTTTCTGTACATTGTTCCATTTTATTTCTTTTAACTGGACAAGAACTTTCTGAGTTAGCTACTGTCTTCCCATTTTACCAGTAGATAAGCAGAGGCTTAAATAAGTTAAAGAAAAAATCTTTAACTTATTTTTATTTATTAAAAATTAGTTACTAATTTTTAACTTAATTCACTAACTTATTAATTAACTTAGCTCAAAATCACACAGCTTGACAGGATTTGAACCATAGACTCTCCGATCAGGCCTCGATCAGTAGAAAGAGTTTACAGGCATGGCCTCCTGGTCCTTTAAGTCAAATGTTCCAGAAAGGTTTAGGACAAGGTCATAGAACTCCTGGCAGTACCAGGTGCCACCAAGAAGGAGGGTGCTTTGTTTCCATAGTCTTGGGGTACATAAAACTGGGCAGGGGGCAGTGGGTGGGGTTACACCAAATCCGAGCTGCCTTCACCTGTGCTGACCTGACATCTTGAGCAGACCAAGCCCCAGGCAGAAAGAGTGTTGGAAAGTCAAGACATGTGGACCTCAGTCCTCCCTGCTTCTTGAGACACGTTTGACCTTGCAGAGGCCCTTGCTCTTGCCATCTGGGGATTTAGGGCCAGATGGCTGCCCGGGTCTCTTAGAATTAGGTTGGCCTGATTCCTTGAGCTGTGGGGTTGGTGTTCCTGGAGTCACTGCTAAAAATTCTGCAAATTGCAGGGAAGCCAATGTTTAAAGACTTCTCCATTGCACTTGTGGCTACATACATCCACACACCTCCCACTGGGTCACGACGTCCTAGGGCTCATCCCACTGCCAAGGAGAGAGGCCCTTCTTTCCTCCATCCTCTACATCCCCAACTCCCAGTTTCTTTTTCTATGACCTAGGGGTACCAATAATCTGTCTCAAGTTTCTGATGGTGACGTGCTTGAGGTTGGGAAGCATTTCCCTGACTGTCTCATGAGCAGAAATGATCACACTGTGTGCCCAGCTCTTTGTTCTCCCCTTAGCCTCCCACTCAGTTTTCCAGGTGAGGACAGGGGCCACATGGAAAGGGAAAAGGTATTATAGTGGAAGGGATGCCCAAGAGTAGTGTGCATGGGAGGGGTTGAGCGATCATACTAGACATTTTCAGGTCTTTTTTATTGGCCATCTGTCCTCTACTTTCTTCTTGCTTCCAGGGAGGTGGGTCTGTGTCTGTGGCTGGATGCAGTGAGAGCAGCCAGAACCAACACCCAGCCTATTCTTCAGCCAGAGGAGTGAGGCTGAGCCCACTAACCTGGCACCTCCACGGTTTGCCCTCAACAAGTGCCTGATGCCTAACCAACCTCACCCATGAAGCCAAGGGTCATTCATCAAACCCATTTCCCTAAGCATCTCCTACATATCATGCACCTTGCCAGGCTGTGGGAACGCAGTGAAGAACATGATCCACATGGTCCCTGCTCACAGAACTTGCAATCTTGTACCAGAAGCTATTAAACTAATAATGGCACAAATAATTATAAAATAAAATTGCAGGAAGTGCTGCATGTGTCAGCTCCTGACCTTCCTTCTGCTTCCAGGACCAGGTGTGATTAAAAGTGAGGCTACTATGATGCACCACTAGAAGATATGGGAGGTGAAATCCAGTCCCGAATCTCGTCTCACCCTCTGACTCTTGGGATAGCAGAGCAAGTGAATAACAAAGAAAAGAAAGAAGATGCTATGAAAAGATGGCTTGGAGCTAGAAGGTGCTAGTGCAATGGATGGGGAAACCACATATCTGTCATTTCCATCTCTTCCATGTCACTGACGTTGGTCCTCTTGACCCTGTCTCAGCTCAGACCTGCATCATCTTTTCCCCAGATGATTGTGGCAGCCTTCTGCCGCCGATCTTGCCTCTCGCCCAGCCCAAGATAGCCTCGATAGGACTCTGCAGAGAACCTCTCCTCTTTCTGCCTAGAGCAGTATTTCTCAGCCTTTTGACTAGTGACAATTTGGAGCTAGATAACTCTTTGTTGGCTGGGGCTCTCCTGTGCGTTGTAGGATGTTTAGCAACATCCTTATTAGTAGTGACAACCAAAAATATGTCCAAAGATTGCCATATGCCATATGATTTGGGAACCACTGGCTAAGAGATATTATGCCCTTGAACTTGATATTCAAGGCTCTCCATGATCTGATTCTGAGCTGTGTTTCAGGCCGAGCGTGGTGGCTCACACTTGTAATCCTAGCACTTTGGGAGGCTGAGGCAGGCAGATCACCTGAGGTCAGGAGTTCAAGACCAGCCTGGCCGACATAGTGAAACTCCATCTCTACTAAAAATACAAAAATTACCCTGGTGTGGTGCCACATACCTGTAATCCCAGCTACTTGGGAGGCTGAGGTAGGAGAATTACTTGAACTCAGGAGGCAGAGGTGGCAGTGAGCCAAAGAAAGAAAGAAAAAGAAAGAAAGAAAAGCTGTGTTTCAGTATGCTATTCCTCTGTCCTGTCTCTCACATTCTATTATGTAGCCATAATCAAGTACATGAAGTTTTCTTAAAGTGCCCTACCCTTTTGTTGCCTTTGGCCATCCTGTTCTCTTGACTTACAGGGCCATGACATCTTCTCTATCTATTAAAATAGATCTACTTGTGTCACAAGATTCAAATAAAAGGCCTTGTCTGAGAAGCTTTTCCAGATTTCTAGAATTTAGTTATCTTACCTGTCAAATAAGGATAAAAATTCTTCCCCATGGATTGCCCGGAATCATAAAATTTCAGGGTTGTAGCAGACCTGGGGATTCACCAATGTCTTCTTTCAGGGAGACAGACGGAAATGCAAAGAAGTGGAGTGTCTTGTGGAAGTCATAGCCAGATGGAGAATAAGCTGCGCCTAGAACTTGGTGTTCTAAATTCCGACATCAATATCTTAAATCCGCTTGTCAGCTTTTGCAAGATGAAGACACTATCTAATCAACAGGAAAGTTAACTTTGTGGCCACAAGGTCACAAACTCTCTGTGCACCTCCATGTTTCTCTGTAAGGTGAAGGGCTAAACCAGCTGTTCCCCAAAAATCATTCCAGGCTGCTTTATGCCACTATGATACTAATTTTCTTTTGAGAAGACTGTCATTTAATCATAAGGTATTCTCATGGGGAGGTATTCTTAATACTTCCCAGTCCATCTCATTGTGGGGGCTGGAAATTTCTGCCCTTGCTACACACTGTCAAAATTGAACCCCAGAGCTCAGCTCACAAGAAGGTTAACATAACGGTTTTGCTGCTCATCATAACAACACTTCACATCATGCCTTCAGATCACTCCCCAGCATCATTCTTCAAATTCAAACGCGAACCAGAAGTGACAAATGATTCTTGTAATGCGCTCTTTGACACAAATCATTTCTGATTGCTCGGGACCCCGGACAACCTTGAACAGGCAGAATCAAGCTGAGAGGCAGAAGTCTTAGAAAATGAACAGCTTCAACTTCTTGTCGACGAGAACCCTCTGCTCACGAGGCAGCAGCAGTATGTGCTGATTGCCAAACAGATCATTTTTAAAATGATGCAGATCTGTGGGAGATTGGTCTGTGTGGTGATGTGTCTCATCTTGCCATGTCCTATGCAGCCTTCAAAGTGTTTTTAGATCCTGGCAAGGAAACAGACATTCATGTGTGTAGGGTTTGCAAGGCCCTCTGCATATGATGTTGCTCTTCATCCTCCCAGCAAGTTCGGGTGTTTATTGTTATCCATCATCCCATAAAGGAGGAAAGGGAGCCTCAGAGAATTCCTAAAACATTGCCAAATGACCTAACATGTTGCTGTTAGATCTCAGACTAGAATTCAGGTCCTGTGGCTCCAAAGTCAGTGCTCTATACCGAGGTCACCTCTAAGGTATAAATTCCTTTCAAAGTGCTCCTATTATTTGGCCTCATTCTCTGCGGATTGTAGATGAATGCTTAGAGTTGAGGGAAGAAGTGCACATTGATGTGAGGTGGGCTTATCTGGAAAATGAGGAGGTTGGAATGGATCACAAATAATACTCCTGGTTCAAATGCATTGAGAGTGGCAGACCAGTCTAAGTGCATTATGAGTATCATTTCCTTTCCTCTCCTTAGCAGCACAGAAATCCTGTGGGTAAGTATTAGGATTGTTCCCAGTTTTCAGAGATGGAACTGAGACTCAGAGTAGTTAAGCAACTTACTCAAGGCAGAGCTGGGGTGAGGCCAGAGGCAGAGATGAATGGCCATCCACCAAGGTTTCTTCCTCCCTTGCAAAGACTGAAGCTGTGTAGAGAAGTGGTTGTCTGGTCAAAACCTGCATTAGAAGAGGCCATGTTGACCAGTTCTTAGCAATGGATATGGTGGGAATAAAAATGTCACTTCTTAGTGGAAGTGGTTATGAAGCTAATGTGCCTTCTCGTCTCTCTCTATGCCCTTCTGACAATAGAACTTAATCCTTAGACTGACTTCGGAAGCCATGTGTGGTGTTGCAATCTTACAGACTTATTCTAGAATGCTTCTAAAAAACAGAACAAAGAAAGATAAAACTGAAAATAAAAAATAAAAAGAAGCCGTGTGTGGAGGAGGGCGCTGTCCATCAGCATGGATCCCTGAATGACCACGTGAAACCGAGTTCCCACCTCTACTCCAGCCTCCCCACACACTGCTGGTTGCACGATGCATAAAAGAGACATCAACTTAAATTGGACTAAGTCATTGAGATTTCAGGAGGTATTTGATACAGTGGCCAGCTTTACCCTGACTAATACAGAAGAGTCTTGCTTCCGAGGTGCATTCTCTTCACTGCAACACCACAAAGTGGCCTTGGGATTGCTTGGATTTATGGAGATAGTAGAAAATGTTCTCCTTATTCCCAAGTCCAAGAGCAAAAGTGTGTTGGTATTTTTTCCTCCTGTGAAGCCTCTGGGGAGTATGTGGGAGTGACGTTCATGTGCTTCTGAGCCCCTTCCAAAACTGACCGCTCCCTTCAGTCTTCTCATTTCAGTAAATGGCACTAGCATATACTCAATGGCTTGGCAGTCATTTTGGTTTTCTGTCTTTCCTTTGCCCCCACATCCTAACTTTCAACAAATCCTGTAGACTCTACCTTAAAAATAAATTCAGTAGGATGCTGGAACTGGCTCAAGTCAACTTGTGAGAGCCGATTGTCAAATTGTTAGGAATATTGCAAGCCAGTTGATGTCATATTGAAAGTTTTAGGTGGCCCATGGTGAAAGTATTTACACTATGGAAATTGACAAACGCTACAAACTAAGGTCACCCTGCTCCCAAGAGAGCAGATTGTTAAATGCCCACCAACACACCACTGAATATTTTCCAAGTTTCACCTTTTCTCACCACTTCCACTGCTACCACCTAAGTCATAGCAACTAGCAGCTCACCTTATCTTGAATATATGACTGCAGTAGGCTCCTAACTGGTCTTCCTGTAATTTTCTGCTCTTTCCCAGTTAACTCCTCACACAGTAGCCAAAGTGATCTTTTAAAAGTGTGAGGCCAAGTGCGGTGGCTCATGCCTGTAATCCCAGCAGTTTGGGAGGCCTAGGCGGGTGGATTACTTGAGCCAAGGAGTTCAAGACCAACCTGGGCCACATGGCAAAACCCTGTCTCTACAAAAAATACAAAAAATTAGCCAGGTGTGGCAGCACTCACCTGTAGTTCCAGCTACTTGGGGCGGCGGGCGGGGCAGGGGGTGGGGGGCATGCGCTGCTGAGGTGGAGGAATCACCCTAGCCTGGGGATATTGAGGCTACAATGAGCCATGATCACGCCACTGCACTCCAGCCTGGGCAACAGAGTGAGACCTTGTCTCAAAAATAAATACATAAATAAATAAAAATGTAAGTGACACCACATCACTTCCCTGCCCAAACCTCTCTGGGCCTTCCCATTGCCCTTAGAGTAAAATTAAAATTTCTTTCTGTAGTTTACAGGACTTTATACATCTAGTATCTGCCCACCTTTCTGACTCAGCCTCTGCCACTCCTGTTTCACTTATTGGTCTACAGCTGGGGTGGTGGTGCTTCTGTTTCACAAACATAGTGAGTTTGTTCTGGTGTCAGGGTCTCTGTGTTTGTTGATCCCTTTGCCTCAAATGCTCTTCCCCTTGATCTTCATATAGTTTGCTGTTTTACATCATATAGGTCTCTGCTAAAATATCACCTCCTCCTAGACGCCTTCCTTGAGCTATCTAAAATAGTCACCTTCCACCCACCCTGCCACAGCATGTGCTTCCTGAAGTTATGTTATGCATGTGTTCACTTGTTTACAAGTGAAATCTGCTGCTTCTATTAAAATGCACTTTCTAAGGGTGGGAATCTTTCTTTGTTCACTATATTCTCAGTGCACGAACTGGTGTCTGGCACCAGAAGATGCTCAATATGCCTACTGCTAGATTGACAAACACATATCTGATCTTCAATATGACCTGATTGAATGTAGCCAGATCAAGTCAGCAGATGCTCAGATCACAATGTAGGTGGAGGTTCTAGAAAGCAGGGCCTGCAAGACAGTTGGAAAGTTGGATGGGCTGACTATGTCCAAAGACCACAGGGCAAAGGGGGAAACAGAGGGAAGAATATAAACAGAATAGAAAGTTTGATAGGGTACCTGGAGGAAGAGTGTACGCTGAGCTTCAGGTCAATATCTGTCAATGAAACATCAGAGTGTGTGTCTAGGAGGGGCAATAGGAACAGAATCTGGATAGATTTAGCTGAAGCCTCTTTGTTAGGGCACCAGAGAAAGTTAAGAAAGTTAATCCCTATCTATAACTTTTTCGCTATGTGACTTCAGGCAAGTTAGTTAACCTCTCTGATCCTCTTTTTTTTTTTTTTTTTTGTAGAAAAGGGTTAATAATAACCTCCTATTGCTGGTTGGAGCACTAAAGGGATAGAAGATTAAAAGCCTCGAGTAAAATGCTTGGCATGCAGTAAGTGTTCAATAAATGCTTAATAACTGTAAATTTCCATACTCTTTTTAACCTTCCTGCCTGTAAATGATCACTCTTTTTATTGCCAATATCCTTTAGTTGGACCTTAGAGACAGGAGAGGCAGGGTATGGAAGCTAAACAGGACTTAGAGGTGAAAATGGTGAACGATTAGGTCTCATCGCCTGCCCCTGTAGGCAGAGTTGGGATGGCTTATGGGAAGAGGGTAGGAGGTATCAAAGCCTTCATACAGACATGGCCAGTGGGAGGACCTGGGGACAGTCCTCATTCCCCATGGCATCCACAATGAGATCCCCAGTTTGTTCTCTGAAGTAGCATCTTCTACCTGGAGGCCTTTTTTACTGAGACTCACAGCATGGAGGAGAACACCAAGAAGGACTGAGAGGGATGCGGTGGAGACTTACCAAGGTCACAAGGCCAGCGCTTGGCAAAGCCACTATAGAAACCCAGTTCTTCTGACTCAGCCCAGCACTGTCTATCCCACCTTCTACCCTGTATCACCTCATGTAGGAGCTGCTTTTCCAGAGGGGCATCAGCTGCTCCAAAGTGTGATCTGTTATCCCCTGTTAGTATAGCCACATTAACAGTTGTTCAGCCAATGCCTGTGGAATGGAATTAATTCAAGGGCAGGATTTTTCTGCAAGGTAGATCCATGCTCTCTTTTGAAGACGCATGCCCATGGCATGAGCCTGTGAGGATGAGATACTTGGAGGCTCAGGTAGATTTAGAAATAGAACTGTGAAATTTGAGTCTAGTAATGAATACTTATTAGGAATAGGATAACAATATCCTAAATCTGTAAAGTGCATTTTAGCTCATTAAAACCCATTCAGACTCTTATTTTCCCCCTTCCTCCCAGCAAGCAAGCCTGTGGATGGACTCAGAAGAGGTCAATGTCCCATTTGCAGTTTA